GATGGATGGATGGATGGATGAGGTAGATGGTAGGTGGTAGGTGGGTGGATGGATTGGTGGGTGGATGAGTGGTAAGTTTTCCACCACACCCAGATCTACTGGACCAAAGTGCCCTTGGCAGACAGTGTATTAAAATCTGCCCCTTAGAGGAGCTGTGTGGCTGGTGGGGTGGTGCTCTGCAGAAAGGCCAGGCTTCCTTGACACACTCTTCTGTGGCCTGCTTGGCCTCTATGGGAGGCCTGATCTTTCTCCTTTCTTGCCTGTCCCATCCTGCCTCGATCAGGCACACGGGTGGCGCTGAGGGTCTCTGAATGACTGCAGCCGAGGTTGCCGGCCCCCAGCCAAGTGGGCCCCGAGTTCGTGGGGAATGAGGGCAGCTGTATGCACAGACAGCATCGTGCTGAGTTGCTGTGGCCTTGCATGGTTGGCGTCAGCCACTCTCTGAGGCCATCTGGTGGGCATGGTGGTCCTGTCCCTCAGGTGGCTAGCTCTAATGCCATGGCTGATTTCTGCTATCTGCCGGCACTTCTGCTTTGCTTTTTTCCTATGCTTTCTTTCTTCACTAGCTTGTAAATGACACCGATGGTCAGTGCCACCTCTGTGTCCCTTGCTAGGGTTTCTCAAGAGGAGCACCAGTCTCTCAAAGGGGCTCAGTATAGCCGGAAGTGGCCCTGGTACTGCTCAGCCTGGGAGGAAGCTGCCCTTTCTGATTGGCAGCTGGATAGTCACCTAGCTCTTGTTAAAGCCTATCAAACTTGGTATCACCTTTCTGGGGTGGCTCAGGGCTGCCTATACTAAGACCTTGCAGAGTCCATGCCCCCTTTGGGCAGTGGCGTCCCCGGCCAGCCACCTTGGTTGAGCCATCCTGGGGAGCCCCAGCTGCATGCCACTGGGAAGTTCACGGTTGATACATTTTTTTGTTTGTTTGTTTTAGTGTTTTGTATTTTGAGACAAGGTTTTCCTGTGTAGTCTGGCCTTGAACTCACTGTGTAGCCCAGGAAGGTGGGCAGTCATCCTGCTTCAGCCTTCTGAGTGTTGGGATGACAGGTATGCAGCACTGTGTGTGGGGTATTGAATGCTAGAACTACTTCTCCTCACACACTCTCAGCTGCTGCTGCTTGCCGTGACTGCCTCCTGTCACCTTCAGGCCACAGGCACAGCACGAGAGCCCAGCACTTCGGCCACATCCGGTCTGCACTTAAGCACGTGTGCCGAGACACGTGCCGACCTCGGGCCGTATGAGGCACAGCTCTGACCGCAAGATGAGTGGGGGCAGTGAGGGGACAGCGGTGCCGCCGGACAGCACAGTGCTGTGGAAAGCTGCGCATGCAGAGCCATACCTGGGGCTCCCTGGACCCCTTCCTAATAGTGGGGAGCATGTGCTGATGGATACAGGAGAGAAAGATGTGCATCTTCGGCACTTTTAGGCCCATAGCTCAGCCATCCTCCGCCCATCCCCAGAACTCTCCTGCACAGCCGGACCCCGTCCCCTAGAGACACTGGCCGGTCACCTCATGTATCTGACTGACTGCTCTAGGAATCTCCTGCAAGTGGGAGCATGCAGTATTTGTCCCTTAGTGGCTGGCTCATTTCACTGAGTGCCGTGTCCCCAAGAGTCATCCATGCTGTCCTGCGTGTCAGCATGTCCTTTCTTTCGGATTGATTGATTGATTGGTTTGGTGTCACTGTGTAATTCATGCTGGCCTGGAACTCACTGTATAACCCAGGCTGGCCTGGAACTCGTCGAGATCCTCCTGCCTCAGCCTCCCAAGTACTGAGACAGCACGTGCCACTTTACTCAGCTGTCCCTTCCTTTAGAAGGCTGTGGCAGCCAATGCAGGGATAGCCCACACAGTATTCATCTACTTATCTACAGACACTCACTTGGGGAACTGCTACCCTTTGGCCGTGGACACTGGGCTTTTGTTTTATTTGTTGTGCTTTTGGATGGTCATGTTTCAGCATGGGTCTCTAGCACATATGGGTGGGGGACTACGGAGTGACCTCCTTTCTGTAGGGGGTTTAGGTGGGACAGACTAAGGTCTGGGTCTTGCCTCAGGCCTGCCCATAGGCACAACCTTGTAGGTGCCTTGGTTCCCTGGGCAGTCACCCTGACCATGGGATTGTTGCTTTGCCCTTTACTTCTTGGGGGCCCCCTGGAGCAGCGCTCCCTTGGCTCACTGGGGACTCTGGGACCCCGCAGACGATTAACGAAAGGATGCCACGGTGCGGGTGTCTAAGGCAGGGGCAGGAGAGGCCAGCGGGAGCATCTAGGGGCCTGGGAGGCAGGGTGCAGAGGGCTCGTGCGGGGCCTTGTTACTGAGGAGGCCCCTGAGCCCATGTCCGGGGATCTTACCGGGTAGGTGCTGTAGCCCTGGAGCACAGAGTGGCTGACATCGGTGGCTTGGGTTCTGGCCGCCCAGTGATCTGGCTGGCACCGTGTTGCCCAAGGTGCCCGTGTGTATGTGGCGCCAGTGTAGACTGCCTGGCAGGCCCCCAGGTCCTGGTAAAGCAGGACACCATCACCGGGCAGGGTCTTCTAGGGGCTTAGCAGTCCCTGCCCCAGGGGCCGGGGGCTCAGGCTCTGGCCGGGCCTGGGAGTTGGCCCCCAAGGAAATGTCTGGTCTAGGTGCCCCTTGAGAGTAGGCCAGGCTGGCGGTGAGGCCCACGTCCTCTTGGAAGCCTGTGTCTGGAAAGGGGACTACACCCTCTCCTCTCAGCAGCACCCGTAGAGACCTTGAACTTGACAGAAGCACCAGGCAGGAGGCAGGAGCCTGTGGCTTGGGCTGTCTGTCACCCATTCCTGTGTGACCGTGTTTGGCCAGGTCCTCTGTCCTGTCCATCTGGAGTGGTTTCTGCCTTGTGAAGTCTCTGACCAGCCTAGCAGGCTGGAGTCCCCGTGCCCCGCCCGCTTGGGACACGCCGAGCTGTGCTAGTGGCAGTGCTTGTCGAACACAGAGGCGTCTAATCGGAACCTGTTTTCCTTCTCCTTCCTAGGTGTTTAGTGACGACCTTACCAAGCCAATCATTGATAATATTGTGTCTGATCTCATTCAGATTTATTCCATGGACACAGAGATCCCCTAAGGCCCTGGCCTAGGCCTGCCCAAAGAGAAGCCCAGGATGGCCGGCTGCCTGGGGACGGTGCCACCATGTTGCTGTGACGGCCGGTCCCCAGAGGACCAGCTGGGAGGACTGGTTGTGCTGCTGGAGGCGGGCTGGTGAAGGCGATAACACGCTGCCGCTTTGACTGTCCCTGGCAGCCGCGGTCCGCATGATGCCGGAGGCACGCCTCTGGTGGGCAGGCTGGGAACACAGTGTGCCACTGCCCGGGTGGCCGCTTTTGCTTTTGTCCTTTGAGGGGATGCTGGCAGGGAAGTCGGAGGACAGATAGGACTGCACCCCTAGGGGTTTTTTCAAAGCCAGATTTATAGAAAGTATGACTCGCAATATAGATGGAATTTTATTTTATATAATAAAAGATGATGCACATCAGCAGAGCCCTTTTGTCTTCGCTCCGAAACCCGCGCTGCCCCGTGAGACTCAACTGCCCTCGGAATGCCCTCACTCCTGGTTGCCGTGCCTGGTGGGGCGCTGGGGCAGAGTGGCCTGAGGGAGGGTCAGGGGCGCCCAAGATGGCTGGCGTGATCCCAGGGCAGCCGAAGTCCTAAGTGCAGTCCAGACAGACGCCAAGATGCGGCACCCTGAGTGCCATGCAAGCCACTTCTGCAAGGCCAGCTCTCAGCTGTGCAGGGCGGCAGCCTGAAGTGGGCTCCCCATACCCAGCGCGGGTGGCACTCGCCACTGGAGACTAGGCTCAGGCACCATCAGTGTGTGGCTAGAGCCATCCCTGCTTAGCCTTTACCCTGCCCCCAGAGGGTCCCCTTTCCACTTTGTCACCTCCACATCCATCCATCCGACACACCTGGAGCTCCTGGAGGGCAGGGCCGGAGGCCAAGAGCTGGGGCCCAGGTGGGCAGGGCTCAGGGAGGACCTTGCCCTGCTGCTGCCTGTGCCTTGCGCACCATTGAACGGACCTTAGTGACAGGTACTCTCCTGGCCTCCCTGCCGTAGCTGCCTGCCAGTTCCCCGGGGCCTCTCGGGCCTGTGCCTGGACACTTGATACGACTTCACTTGGGCCACCAGGTGTGAGACCTCAGGCTCTGGAAGGCCTGGAAGGGCTCACTCTCTTCCGCTGCTCCTGCCTGCGCTCCTCCTCAGGACGGAGCAGCAAGGAGAGGAATTGGGACAAGCACCCCTACCCCGGCGGAGAGCGCCCCACAGGCCCGGAAAACACATTTCCTTTCGTGGGCCTCAGTTTCCACCTCGCGGATTGAGCAGGTCGCACAGAATGACGGCTGTTTTAAGTCCCTCCCCCACCTCGGCCTGTCACACTGCTGGGGACTTGTCTGCTTGGTGTTATTTGTGTGCTGGCCGCTGGGCCTGTCGGCTCAGTGCTTGTCGCCTGGCCTATCTGTAGTTTTCCTGATGGGACAGCCAGCCCACGTCTGTCAGGGCCGCGGGACGGGGTGCACCGGGGCCTTGTTCTGCACGTTGTGAAATTCAAGTCATTGTTTACAGGGTTAGGGGTTCTTTGTGGCTTTTATTTTATTGTGTTGTGTTCATTTTTGCTTTTTGTTTCTTTGATTCCTGTAACCAAGGCTTTTGCAAAAAATAAAAGGAGAGTAAAAACGTACAGCCTTTCGTCTCCTTTATTTTGGGTTTCCAAAGGTCAGCAGTGTGACTGCAATAAGATACCGCGGAACCTGAGGCTCCCAGGCCTTCGGGGCAGAGCCTATATTCATCATGGTAATGTGATCAATGGCTCAATCTTGCTTGGCCTGCACAGCCGGGGAGGGAGGGGGAGGCGGGCCAGTCCTGGGCCGGACCTGGTGCCCTGAGTTGTGTCCCATAAAAGCTCATGTCCTAAGCCCTGCGGCCTGCAGAGGGGACCGTATTTGGAAATAGGGTCTTGACACACATCACCAAGTTAAGACAAGGTCCTTAGGGTGGGCTCTGATCCAGGCTGATATCCTGAGGAGACTCGAGGGAGGACGAGGCCACGTGAAGACAGAGGCAGAGGCTGGTATGACATGTCTACCAGCCAAGGAATGCTGAACATCGCTGGTGCCACCAGAAACCAAGAGAAAGATCTGGAGCCGCTGCCATTTCTCCCTGAGCCCAAGCCCTCCGAGAGCATGGCCTTGCCGGTGCCTCGAGTTTGGACTTCAGGCCTCCCAAGCTGGGAGGGGAGACATTTCTGGTTCTTTTTAAGTTTTTTTTTTTTTAAACAAGATCTCACTATGTAGTCTAGGCTGGCTTTGAGCTCAGCCCCCCCGAGGGCTGGGATGGTAGGTGTGTGCCACCACACCTGGCTCGTTCTTACCATTTTCCACTGACAGTTTGTGGAAGTCTGCCCCAGGACATTCCCACGTGCCTGGACTCCCGGGGCTCTGCCACTGTGGGGCTTCCTTGCCCCAAGCCACAGGAACCTGTCATACTTGATAGAGAACTCTTGGGGACAGAGAAATCCTAGGCCCGAGTCCCCAGTTCTTTAGGGGGAGCATATCACTCCATATGGTGCCAGTGTCTTGGTATGGAGTGTGGCCAATCTAGACTGACTCAGCCTTCTGGTCCAAGATGCACAGCAGCAAAACAAGGTGCTCTGCCATGTCTTTTTGCCTGTTGGAGAAGTGCAGGCTCTGGTGGCTGAGGGCACTTTGGAGCCATTTTCCTTTCTTAGCCGCTGCCCTGGCAGGTGTGTGCTGCGGTGCTGCCAGCTCTACAGGGCGGCGTATGCAGCCGAGAAGTGGCAGCCCAGGAAGTGAGGGAGGGGCAGTGCCGTGGCTTCAGTGCTCCAGCCTCGGCACGGCTGCCCACACCGGCTTTGGAGGGACCAGTGTGAGGAATGAGTGGGTGCAAGGGGCTTTGTTCCACGGCTTAGGGTACAGAGGACGTGAGATTGGGTCCTCCGGCAAATGGTGTGGCCACTGTGGTGAAGCCAGGCCATTCCCAGCGGACTGGTAGGCAGGAGCTCAGAGCTGCTCAGGAACCCAGGTTCACAGCAGCTTTATGATCACGGCCCAAAGGGGGCAGCCACTGAGTGTCCCTCTGGGAGTGGCTGAATAAACAAAGGGTGGCCCATCCCTGTGCAGTCTGTCACTCATCCTGCTGACCCACACTACAGTGTGAATGCCCTGTACGAACCAGTCACAGAAGGGCACTCTGATGACCTCCGTGAGGACCTGCTGTGACAGCACTAGGGCCAGCCAAGTTCACGGACGGACCAGAGAGTGGAGGGTTGGACCAGGAGGGAGGAACAAGGAGTGGGTTCCTGGGGTCCCGTGAGTTTCGTTAGAGTTCTGGAGGTGGGTAGTGGTGATGGCACTCAGTGCCACTGGGCGGGGCATGTAGAAATGGCTGAAGGCTTCTGGGTGTGGTGATGCGCGCCTGCCATCCCAGTACTCGGGTGGCTGAGGCAGGAGGATCACTGAGTTCAAGGCCAGCCTGGGCTACATAATGAGACTGTCTCAGAAAAGGAAAAGAAAGAAAAAGAAAGGAAGGAAGGAAGAAAAAAGGAAGGAAGGAAAGAAAGGGAAACGAAAAGGGAAAGGAAAGGAAGGAGGGAAGGAAAGAAAGAAAGAAAGAAAAAAGAAAGAAATGGCTGAGGGTCCTGGGTGGGGCCCTGAGCCCTTGCCTAGCATGTGTGAGGCCTGCATTCCAGCTCCAGCACTGTAGATCAAGAACATTGAGATGGTCAGTTTTATGCCATATATACACACATATAGATTTACTTGAGACAGGATTTACTATGTAGTCCAGGTTGGCCTCAAATGTGGTGATCCTCTTGCCTCGGCCTCCCAAGTGCTGGGGTGACATGGGCTACCACACTCAGCTTATTATGTATATCTTATCACAATAAAAAAAAAAAGGAGTCTACCAGTGTGCTGGGTTCTGGTACTGAATTGTGCCACCTGAGGGTGCTGGCCTGGCATTCACTGCAGACTTTGCTGGGTCGAGCAAATCACAAGGTGGGCCACCTGTCCCCTCGCACCCCACAGGTAGGCCCACTGCTTCTCTGCAGAAGGACCCGCAGCGCAGCAGTGTGCTGGGCCAGTGGCTTAGGCCCAGTGCCATGAAGGCACCTCTGGTTCCGTACAAGACCCCACCAAGCAATGAATCACACACGCTACCCAGACCATGATTATAAGAGCCTTTCATTTTTTTTTTATACACAGAAATTTTGGTCTAGTCTTTAAATTAGGAAATTCAACTACAGACTTTAAATTAGTATGCATCTGTGGTCTTCCTCATTAAGATATTTTTGTTCATCTTTATAACAGGCAGATAAAAATGTAAAACATATTTATTAACTGAACACAGTTGACCAAGCCATTCCGGATAATATAATGCTTAGAAAGAGGGGCTTCCCAATGAGATAGTCCCTCGGCCTGAAGACTGTACAAGAACCAGAGTGAAAGATCGCAAGTCCACCGTGCCCCTTCTGCGTACCCCATAGCCCAGCTCAAAGGCACCCTAGGGACCACACAGGCAACATTTGCACCAGGTGACGGGACGCGGCGGCAGCGAGGGATTGCTCTATCGATGTCTACAACAGAAGATGGGAAGAAGCCCAGGAGCGCGGGGTCCGCAGCTGACCCTCTCTGACTGACACACAATTCAGAGCACAAAGACCCTCTGGAAATGGAGTTGCCCTTCAGGTTGTGGCGGTTTAAACAAGGACATCAGGGAACAATTTACAAATGGGTGACATTCTCAATGTGCCCTTTAGAAAAAAGGGATGGCTTAAGTTATCTGTAGCTGGCATTTTAAAGTGGGATTTGCTTTCGAACCGAAATCTTTTGCCCGAGATTCGACTACTGCTGCTCAGGGGTGACACGGCTTTCGCGGGAATGGTGGCCACCAAGCGCGTTTCCATTTGGCTTTGGGCAGATGCTGGGGAGGCGGCGTGTGTGGGGGGTGACAGGCCCAGCGCCTGAGGGTGCCAGTCTGCAGCTGAGCCCCAGGCCACCTCCTGACGAAGCGGGAAGTGAGAAGGCCGTGAGCTCAGGAGGTCAAGGAACCTCAAGGGCAAAGTGCAGCCCATTTCACAGCATCACTTCGACCGACCTGGAGGCTTGGTAATCCGTGGGGAAGAGGCTTGTGGCCTGGAGGACAGGACAGCGGACATCAGGACCCTCTACCTCTGCCTTCTCTGCAGTTTCCTCTTAGATTATCACTCATCCTGGGGAAACTGAGGCTTGTATGCTGGGTGCCCGCACTACCAGGAGAGGTGCCTGCTGAAAGCCCCACCTGCCTGGGCAGGCCTGAGCCCTGCTGTGGGCCATACTCAGCCGCAGTGGGCCTAGAAGAGCCACTGGTGCCAAGAGTGACTACAGCAGCAGCAGAATGCCGTGTTCCACACAGCTTTGCTTCTCCACTGTTGCTAGAAGCGGCAGCAGACTCGAGGCTGCGCCTTCGAGGCTCGCGTTAGGCCTCTGGATGAGACGACCAGGCTCAGAAGCAAGCTCTGGCGGGCGGCACTGCCCAGGCGGCAGCAGACACGGAGGTGGCCCCATCAGCACTTCCTGGCGTCATCAAAACACGAAGTGAAAGTCCAGCCAGTGTGCCGAAGGTGCTGGGGTCTGGACTGTGCCCCAGGCAGCCTCCCAGCCTTGACGAGCCTCTTCCTCAGCCCACCATGCAGGTTCTGGGGTTCCGGGCCCACCCTCTGCTCAGACGGAGCGGGTGAGTGGGGTGGGGCCCCCTTTGTGCAGGCTGGGGCGTCACCGACACAGAAAGCTGCTGGCCAGAACGCGGGACTCGCAGTAGAAACGCCTATGGGAGGGGACCGTGCTCATCAAGACTTTGGTATTTTCCTTTGCAGTGATAATTCCATGGCAAGGTTTTTCTCCTCTCTATGCAGGGTCCCGAAGTGCAAATGTTCCCCTGGTAATGCCTCCCGGCCTCGGGCATCCCTCCCCACACCTCCTCCGTGGGCATCTTGTCAGGGCCAGGCCGTGGCAGCAGGGGCGCAGGCGGTCCTGAGGGGCACCGGACTAGGGAGGAAAACGTTCTTGCAGTCTGCTTCCCTGAAAAACCCTTGCTACATTCAATAATGGAATCTCAAAAGGAAAACACCTGGTAAGAGGAATGGAAATATCATGCCAATAAATAGCTCCTTATTCTTGAACTATGCATCTCATCGTATATATATGTATATGCATATAGACACACACACACACACATATATATATATGCGCACGCACACACTGCAGACTGCAGTCGGGTGGCGTGCACTCGGTCGTTGGTTGTGGCTGCGGGTACATTTGCAGGCGGCTCCCTCTGGTGGCTTGTATGGGCAGTGCCCGCTTCCCGGGCCCGCGGAAGGCCTGCCTGGCTGCGGTGCCTTGGGTTAAGCTGATGGCTCCTCTTCCCGTGTAGCAGTGCCTGGCGAGCCGAGCCGCCCCGCTCACCACACAGCCCAAGTGGCACGCACTTGATGCAACCGCCCGGTAAAAAAGACGCATCTGTAGATAGAAGGTGGGGAGCGCAGTTTTCCTCATGCCTGTCTCCCTCCCACTTGGGGAAGAAAGCTTCTCCGCCTCCTCTTCTCCCTCATCCCCCAGCCCCGCCCCTCTGTCTGAGATGAGAAGGCCGCGGGGCGGTACCCTTATTGACTGGATTTGGCTTCTTGCAAACGCCATGCCAAGAAAAGTCTTCAGCCGCCGTAGTGGTCTCCCTCTTTGGCAGGGGTGCAGGCTGCCTTCTGTGTGTGTGCGTGTGTGTGCGTGTGTGTGCAAGCACGTGCACGTGTGTGCACGAGCAAGTGTGTGTGAGTCCACATGTGCGTGTACCGAGAGGAGTCCTGGTTAGAGCGACGTCTCCACGCTGTGGAGCGGGCTCCCCGGCCTGGAAGAGAAGGCTGAAGAGGTAGCTGACTTGGTGGCATGCGTGGTCAGGTAGATGCCGCTGTCTATGGCGTTGTTGTTCTGGTTGGGGGACGGAGGCACGGCAGCCCGCAGGCGCTCCTCGTTCTCGTCCACGTCCGTGTCATCGATGAGTGGGATGTTGTGGGTGTAGTCATTGATCAGGAACTCAGGCATTGCCATGAAGTTATGGATGGAGCTCTTGGATTCCGGTTTCTCCAGGCCTTCATAGAGCGAGCTACGGAATGCTTTCACCACCCGGATCTGGAGGGCAGGGGCGGGGTGGGGCGGGGCCCGAGGTGGGGCAGGTGGGTAGGTGGGAAGGGAAGGAGAGGAAAGGAGAGAGTCAGCGGCTGGGTGCCATCACACGATGGGTGTGCATCCAGGGGTGCGATGGGCAGTGGGGGCTCGTGGGGCTGGGTCTCGGGCTTGTCAACAGTGCCCACATGCAGGAAACGGCTGGCCTAGCTCTGGCCTGCTACCTCCCCAGGCCCTGACGTGGCCCCCTGGGTCTTTGCCCAGTCCGAATTCCAATCAGATAGAAACCGAGAGAAGATTAGAACAAGGGAGAATGTGGGGAGGGCGGTGTCCTAGAGGCAGTCTGCGGTACCTTGCGGGGAGGGACAGGGCTTGGCCTGCGAGGACTGCTAGGCTCCACAGCACGGTTCCCCCCGAGCTTCTCTAGGGACCCCACCTCCATCCCTTCAGCCCCTGTGGCTGCAGCAGTTCCCACCATGCCCAGACCCATCCTGAGGCCAGCGGCCACTCTTCACCCTCATCTTAATGGGTCCCTCCGGCGCACCCAACACAGCTGACCTTCCGCTTCTGGAAACTTCTCAAGGCTGCCTGACATTGCTCCTGCCTGGCCTCCCTCCACCTCACCAGCTGCCTCGGCCCCGCCTCCTCTGTCCTGCTCTGTGCACGCTGCCCTGGCCTCGGGCCCGCCCGCACCTGCACACCAAGGCTGCGGACGACCTCGTAACCTGACAGTGACGCGTGCCACACCCACCCTACCCAGGCTACTGCGTCTCCTCAGCCTCAAGCCGCAGCTGTGTGTGTCCGAGGATGTCCGCTCGCATGTCCTCTGCTACCTGCTCCTTCAGCTTCTTTCACCCTGTACCTTCCTCCACTCGGGTATTCCCAGCTTTGCCATGCTTGGCCCATTTCCCGCCACTAGAGCAGTACAACTCCCCTGCCACTGGGCCCTCTGCCCCTAGCCCAGCTCACATGCCCTCAACGGTGGCCTCTGCCAGGCCATTGCTGGCTGGCCTGACGGCAGCTGCACAGCGAGCTGTCCTCCCTGTGGGATCCACAGGCCCCAGCAAGCCCCTCTTATGCGAGGGGAGGACACGTTAAGAAAGCTGATGTAGTTTCCAGGCCCAGGGCCTTGGACTTGGCTTCTTGCTTGAGATAAGATGTCAGCCAACTCTGGCCTGAGGGCTAACTCTGGCCTTCTGCCAGCTTTGTAAATAAAGTTTTATTGGCACACAGCTGAAGCCATTCATCTAGGTAAAGCCTGTGCTGCTGCTGCAGCACAAGGTGTTGCAATAGAGACTGACCCACAAAGCCGAATCGATTTACTCTCTGGTCCTTTATAGGAACAGCTGACTGGCCCCAGTTTAGACAATGAGTCACCCTGGATACAAGGAACCCCTTTTCGCCCTCCAGAGTCTGGAGAGCACAAGCACAGAGAGCCTCAGAGTTTCTGGAGTACAGAAAAGTGAGCCAGAAGCCCTATGGAATCCGAGTTTTCTAGCTCTACATCAGAAATTCACTTAGGATTATCCTGTATGTGGCGAAGCCACGTCTTTTTATTTTATTATTTGTTATGTTTTGTGTTTTGAGTCAGACTCTCACTACGTAGTCCAGCTGTCCTTGAACTCATGATCCTGCCTCAGCCTCCCCAGTGCTGGGGGTACAGGCATGCGCCACCATGCCCAGCTTGAAGCCACATCTGCAGATTACAGATGGTCAGTTTCTCTCCCTCAAGCCTTTATCCCAGGAAGGTTTTTGAAATAGGGGTAACAGATGTTGAGAATCCCCTGACAGTTTTAATGAGGACAGTGTTCACTTCTGCAGCCAGCTGACATGTGTCCCCACAGGTTAGGCCTGCAGTACTGGTGCGCAGGGCATCCCCTACTCCAGCTGTCGGCCATGCCTAAGTTACCATTCTGGTAACTTAGAGAAAAGCTGTACGCTGCCTCCTTTGACCTTGTACGTTTCAGAAGTTCAACACTGATGTACCTATGACCTTGGCCACACCCTTCTCCTTGCTGAGCCTTGGCCTCATTTGGACCTGGGTCACATGCTCAGGCCCCTGCTCAAACTTATCCTCTGGTCTCACTGGACCTGGCTGAATTCCAAAGCTCTTCCTGGCAAAGGGCAGCCGAGGCCACAAGGCGGTCCCTGCCCCCACACCCTTTTGCCTCTGCAGCCACCACTCCGGCCCTGCCCCAGGCCTGGTGGGTCCTCTCGAGTGTCATCTGCCGGGCACAGCCCACTCAGCCCCAGGAGGGTTTGAAGCCCAGGCCAAGTCATCATGAGTGTTTTCCAGCTGATGGTGGTTTAGCCTGGCTCCAGCCTGTTTCCCCCATTTAGATCTGGGGCTATTAAAAGATGGCTTGGTATTGATCTTATGATGGGGTGTTTTTAGCCTACCCAAAGGTGGAAAGGTGCAGGCAGCTTCTGGGAAACAGGCTCCCTGAGAACCAGGGAATGCTCCTCAGAGCTCATCCGAGAGGCCTGGCGTGCGGACTTGGTAGTCGGGCATCCCCAAGGCCCAAGGCTGGAGTGGTGTTCCCAGCACCGGAATCCTCAGCTGAGCCCACAGGGCATGCTGGCCCGATTCTCAGGCTCCTGCCTGCGATGCGTCCCCATCTCTACTCCTCCTAAGGGAGGCTCGCCACCCTCAAGGCTGGCAGTGCCACCTATAGCCCAACAGACCGCTGTGTCCATCTTTATATCCCAGCCAGGACCCTCCCACGATTGTGAGATCTTTGCACCCGCTGCCTTCCAGGGACCTCCCCTCCCCACTCCCTGGGCTGCCGGCGCCCTTGCTCCCACCCGCCTGCCCCTCATGCTCCCTGAGCCCAGCACTGGGCCCTGCCTGCCATGCTGTTGGTGCGTCCATGCCCCTCTCCATCTTCACTGTCGCCTGGGGTCCTGGAGGCCCCTGGGGACCCACAGCCCCCTGGCAGACACCTGAGCATTGCTCTTTCCTCGACACCTGGCGCCCAGCTCCCGCCTAAGGGTTCTGCCTAAGGTTCCTGTGCTGGCCTGCACTGTCCCTTCTCCTAGGGACACTTCCAAGCTCTTGCTGGCCACAGAGCTGGCCCTAATTGAATGCCACCCCCACAGCCCACCTTCCCATAGTGTGGTTTCTAAGAAATCGAAGCAATCTGCAAGAGAGAGGCGTTGCGGGCTCGTGGCCCCGTGAGGCGACGTGGCCCTGCCGTCTCTTCTGCCCTCATCCAGGTCACCCCCTTGTCCCATCTTACCCCCCGGGCCCCACAGTTCCCTGTAGCTGCTGCCCCACTTTCTATGCCCTGCCGCATCTTAGCTGGTGGCCCTGAGGGGGCTGCTAATGCTGTCTTTCCTCTACTGACCCCAGAAGTCCTCAACGTGATAGGGCCTGCTGCCACCCACCCCAGCCCCCGTCCCTCCTCAGCATGGCAGGCTGAGGAGGACAGAGCCAGACACAAGCAGGCCCCGGGAAGGACATGGGGGGACACATAGTTATCGCACGCTGCCTTGAAATGCTGAAGGCCGTGGTGCTGTCTGGCTGTTCCAGGATGCTTTTCCCCCTCAGTGGGCCCTTTTCGGTCCCACCCCCGGCAGCCTCATACCCACTTCCACTTCATAGGCTCCCTTCAGACAAGCCTTGTACCCCATTATTCACACCTTGGCCTATTACTGGAACATTTTCCTCTAGGGCAGGGGTTTGTCTGTGGGGTTCACTGAGAACCCCAGCACCCAGCAAGGTGTGCAGAATGTCAGGGACCCATCCACCCGGTCCCCACCTTCCCGAGGCCCTCCACCCGCTTCTCTGTCATCAGCTGTCTGGAGCTGTCCCGGAACATGCCAAGGGGAAGCCTCCCCTGCCCCTGCCAGACTGCGACCCCTGCCCTAGACCACTGCAGCTCACCCATGGCTGGCCTCTCGCCTCGCACTTCGTTCAGCTTAAATGTCCATCCTCAGCGCCTAAGACCCTCTCGCCTTTGTAGGTCTGGGACCATCGGAGCTGAGCTCCCTCCCTGCCGATCATTTGCTGTTGGAGGAGACACCCAGGGCCTTGCAGCGCCCATCTGTCCTCAGGAGGCCTCTGGTGATGGGTAGGGAGGGGTGTGGCAGGGGTGCAGGAGTAGGGGGACAAGCAAGGCACCCAGGGAGCACCGCCCTGGTGAAAGAATGGAAAAAGGAAACGAAAGAGGAGAGACATAAAAGCAAAGACCCCTGAGCTGCAATGATGACAGGAATGACAGAAACTGCCTGCCCGCTTTCCACCTCTTCCTAGTACTTCCTCAGGCAGAAGTCAAGGCCGACCGCCCACCGCTGCTGGGGTGCTAGGGAGCCCCCTCTGGGCCTTCTATTGCCTTCCTACTGAAACCCTCGTAGGGAGCAGGGATGGGTCAGAAATCAGCCTCAGCTTCCTTCCTCTGAGTTGGGGGAGCAGCCAGGGGAGAAGCCCCTTTCCTCCTCATGGGGTGTCACATTTTTCATCAGGAAACTGGAAATGTGAACTCCAGAGCTGCCCCTTTCACAGAGGGACCACAGCAGATGCTAAAGGCAGCTTGTGTACACTGTCAAGTTTCATGACAGTTGCCTCCCATTCTGTCCACATGGACCCAGTGTGCCCAGGACCATGTGAACCCAGACTTGTGCTCTGGGCATCAGTAGTTGAGCCCAGGCTGCTCAGGTGGCCAGACAAGGAAGGGCACAGGAGGAAGCCTCACTAAGCCCTGCTTGTCTTGGGCCCCTGTTCCCAGTGCATGCTGGGAGGGGCTCAGAGCAGGACTCCTGGGGGTTCCCAAGCTGCACTGACATGTGCTTTAAGAATTCCACGAACAAGCTGGGCATGGTGGTGCATGCCTGTAATCCCAGCACTCGGGAGGCTGAGGCAGGAGGATCCTTGCGAGCTCGAGGCCAGCCTGGGCTACAAAGCGAGCTCAAGGCCAGCCTGAACTGCATAGTGAGACCTTGTCTCAAAAAGACAAAAGCAAAAAACAACAACAAAAAACAAATCCCCCAAAAAAGAATTCCATGAA